TGGAGTTTTTATATGACTGATGATGAAATAGATGAAATATCTGCTAACAACAGTATCCTGGAGTGTGCGTTGCCTCATGTGCATCATTTTCATACCACAGCAATGCACTGTGAGAGAGAATGTGTATTACTGTTGGCGACACACGGGATTACAAGTTAGTGTTGTCTGTGTGAGTCTGCTGCTGCAGAGCTGGGCCGACAGTAGATTTTAAAGTCTTCATGCAGAATTAAACTTCGCATGCAAGCAATCCTTAATCTGCGCCCCTTCAAAACATTCAGAGAGAGTGTAGTTAGTCACACGGTCCTGTCTCCTCTTTTGGAGAAGTGATACACTTAACAATAACAAGGCTAAAGACGGGATTACTGCATGCGGACAAAGTTTCCCACGAAAAAGTAGGAGCAGTTAAAGCCCACAGCATGTCCCCATGACTGCCATTGCTTCTCATGACGTTTTCTACCTGATTCTGTTGCTGTTTCATGACGCACCAAAAAAACACTTACACAGAGACGACACGATAACCTGAAGTTTTTTTCAGTTTCAACTTGGGGACATGTTAGCGTGGCTTTATGACAACCCTCTGACGGAGAGATTGATATCTGTGCTCCTGGTGCCACAGAGTCAGAAGAGTCAAGTAGCCCCCTGTAGACAAGCCATATGGCTTAGGAAGAGCTTCACGGGTGTATATGTGCGGCAGCAAGCACCATGCCAGTCCCTCTGCTGATTTCTCATTACCGAGGAATAAATAGAACAAGACAACAAAACAGTGGCCCTGTTGTGTCATACCCATTCTAACTTCGGTGTGAGACAGATGGCACAAACTAAATGGCAAGATTTGAATAGTTGGGAAACTGGGCAGCAGCACTAAGCACAACAAACAACAAACTGTGATGAGGAAAGCATTCTGTTCTGCCCTTTTCACCACGTTTTGTGGATAACACCATCGTTTTCTGTCTTTGTTACCTGATTTTGTTGTGCTGCGTGACAAAGTGTCACTTTTAAGAGCAATCAGAATGACTGCACCCGCGCGGGTTCTTGTTTTATTGTACATGGTGGTGGCGTGGGAGGCGGCAGGGTAGGCACAGGGAGCAAGAAGATGCCAGGTATTCTCTGAGGCGGCTGACGGGCCGGCAGGCGAGGCAGACAAGCACAGGATGCAAAAGGCTGAGGCAGAAAGGCTACCTGTAAATATAGCACAGCAGCTCACAAGCTTTGGTTTCCATTAAACAGCCATGTATTTCCCAGCTCCTGGCTTTATTGCACCGTTGCTTCGGGAGTGGGAGCCCAGAAGGCTCTTCAACATTATTAGCAGCTCACAGTACATAATCCCACAGCAGATTCTCGACTATCTTCAGACCAGACTGAGATATATAGAGAGAGATGAGGACCAAGAACAGGGGGGGGAGGGCTTCAGTTGGAGTGCAGGAGAAGGGGGGGNGGGGGGGGGGGGGGGGTGCAGGAGGATGCCAGTCTTTGTGAGTCTAAAGCACTGACGCAAGAAGACAGAGCAGCGAGGCGGGCCTACATTGTAAAGCCTCTGTGTTTCTCATCAGGGCGTCAAGCTAATTCAGTGACAGACACCAGATGGTGGCCTGTCTCAGGAGGTCCCATGTGTCTCACTAAGCCATGAGACCAGACACAGAGCCAGTGCCCTCCTCTGCCATTCCTTTAGAAGGGGCTGAAGCCCCCTCATTCAGTATCCCCCATGTCTCGGCCTGGTTCCACTTACGATGCCTCCGGATGCTTTCAGGTGACGTTGGCTGCAGCAGGAACTCTTATATCCAACTTTTAAAAATAAAACATCACTTCTTTTACTTTAGAGGAACTATGACAAAAAAGAAAAACGGAGACAGCAGCTTTAACGCCCAAGGATCCTCAATCATCATGTTCACAGTCAGAAAAAGAAACATGACAGCTTTAATTCATCAATTCGGCGGTTGCACAATAAATCCAGCCTTGCCGACCAGACACTGAGTCATCATTATTTACACAATATGAGAGAAACGCACCAACCTACCTACAAATGCAAGAAAAGAAAAAAAAACCTCATACTGATACTTGTTGAGTGTCATCTGCATGCAGGCATTCATATGCAAACAGCTTATGTGTTCATTAAAGAACAAATGAATGAATATGCGAACAAGATGCTCTGTGGATCCAGGAGGTGCCTCACAGTGTAGCTCATCCCCCAAAAGAGACCTCAGAGATTTCATCAAAGGGTTTTTATTTTTCAGTGCGGTGTGATGTCGTCTTCACTCACGCGAGGTGACAAACTGAAACAGCTAGGAGCCATACAGTAAACAAACTGTCGTCCCAGCAAACGCTAGTAAACATTAATCACATATAAGTGAAGCCAGATTTTTTTGGGCTTCTCTCTGCTATAATTTGTATTTGTACTATGATCAGACAGATCGCTGAGGAGAGTAGATTTGGAGGTTTATTGTCATTAAATGATTGCTGATATTTGGGGCCAGACCACAAGTAGTGCAAAATTAATTTCTGGCAAAATAATATTAATTTCTTTTACAGGAATAAGGCCTTTGATACAGGAGTATTGTTTTATCTGAGTGTGAACAAACAAGACGAGAGGAAGAACAAACTGCTGCCTATCTATCTGTCTTTCTATTCATCCATCATCCATACCATTGTATACCCATAATTATATGTTATACCACACCTGTCAATACACTTCTAACAGTCTATATATATATGTGCATGTGTATGTTTATTTCAATATCCCCTTATTCGCTATGCATAAATACATCATGTCATTCTGTGCCACTGCATTTTACTCTGTATGTTTGTCTACAAATCTGTCAGTTGGTTGTTAAAGTTGTATATATATTATATATGTACAAATTCTCTGTATCTTAATTTAATTTCTCATTTCACTTTATTTTGTTTTAGTTTCACTTGTGTCAACCTCATTTTGAACATCTGCTGCTGTAACAAGTGAATTTCCCCTGCGTGGGATCAATAAAGTTCATCTTATCCTCTATGCTGCAGTCACATGAGCATGTGGTGTGCTTTTTAAATAGTTGAGCCATCAGGATGCCGACATCCCACAATTAGACACTGTACACACCAGCTCATCACACGCTGCGTCGTTGACATCGCGTGTCAGAAGGTGAAGATACAATCTTAATATCCGTCAGTGAAATGTCTCATTAACATTGTTAACTTCTGTGGTATAGTCACGATGCGTGGCACCAGCCTGTTATTAGATAATCACTAGATTAGAGGCAGCGAGGGACAGGACGCGAGAGAACAAGCATGGCATTACAACATCCCTCATAGCACAATCCTTTCTGATGTGGTGTTTGTTGCTGTGGCACAGAAAAAGAAACCTCATCATCGTGAAAGGACTTTGTGTTCACTCCATGATAATAGGCCATTAATGGCACAAATAAACAGTGTCGAACCATCAAACCACCGCACTTGCCTGACTATTTGTTCTCCTCTTGTAGAACCTGTAATCTTGTCCACATGATTTTGTTCTTTTGTTCAGCTGAAAATTTAAGGGATCTGAATTTAAGATCCCACTAGATATAAGCACTCTATGAGCAATGAAATAAATATGATATATGTAATTTAGTCACATTTATGATATAGGTATTTTAGCAAAGCACCACTCTTCATCAATCATATAAATATCTATTACTGACAAAAGAAAACGGTATATAAAGATGGGGGAGGCGTCTCCACTTCCTCCCACTAGCCACATTTGCAAGAACCCACCGATACACACGCCCAACCACTCATGAGTCAACTGTCATTATGTTTCATGTTTTATAGCATTAAGTAACTTCTTAAATCAAAACTACCTAAAATGACAGAAACTATCTTTTTAGAAAATGTATTTGATGTGTACTTTGACTCTTCTGTCCATGTCTCATCCACATGCATGGAGGAGGTGGGATTTATGACCTATACTGCAGCCAGCCACCGGGAGTGATCAAAATGCTTTGGCTTCACTTCTGGAGAGCTGCCATGTTGTCTATGGTCTTCAAAATCTAAGTAATGATCAATTTTGCAGTTTTAGAAAAAAAATATTATATCTTACACTTTTAGTTTTCAAATTTCCAAATGACTGTAGAGCATGAAAGTTGTTAATGCAATTTTTAGATAAATGACAGAAGTGTTTTCCACCCCAAAGTGCATGGGGCCTGCTGCCTGCGCATGTCATTGCTTCACATGTATTTGCCTCCAAACTCCCCTGTGGGAAAACCCCCCTCAGCTGGTTTGGCTTGGCTGCTCTGCGATTCTGTTTGGCAAGATTACTATCACCGCTCACCACTTAGCATCTGCCCAGTCGCATCTCAGCAGCGGCTCCCATCTCCCCCACCAACCCACCTTCTTCTCTCCTCCCCTCCCCGCCCTCTACTTGTTCTCCCCATGCTCACTCTACCCATCCCTTCGCTCACCCTTTCTCCTGCACTCTTTAGCCACCTCACGGCTCGCTGGTGTGACATTTGCCTTTCAGACGAGGGACGAGGGACCGACCCTCATCCAAACTCTGACCTTTTCCACCCCATGTCTCCCTGTCTGACACATTCACAGCCAATTTCACTGACAGTGAATTCCACAGACTAAAAAAAAATAATTGAAATTCAAGATGACACTCGATAACACATTATATAATTGACTTGTGTTTTGAGTTTGTTTGAGCAGGGTTTCTCTATCCAGTGATTTTTGCCTGATAACCTGTCTGAACGCCGACCTCACTACTTAATGCAGATAACTGCTGCAGCAGGCTTAAAGGTTAATGAATGCTCAATGAATACCACATACCATGGGCCACTTTGGGGCATTATGTATTCAGCTTATTCAGTGGCTGGCCTACTGATGATCTACTGTAGATTTTCTGTCCACAGCAGAGGTACTAGAAATATTCTCCCGAGATGGTATAAATATCTCATTATGTCCGGACTGCTTGTGAAGGACAAGTGCTTAAAGTTTACACCCACCACATTATCGCTCTGCTATAGTCCAGCAACTACTTTAGTTTCAGCAGTTAAAAAAACAGCAGATGCTCATTATAGAACAGGTTACTTACTTTTCATTTAAAAGGCAAGACGGTTTAAGAGTTCAGAAGTGTTTGAAAAAATATGGTTTACCTGACACGTCAAAGCAAGAGCCCCCCCAACAATCACCTTGTCAAAGCTGTGATCTTCCTTTCTTTCCCCTCCAGCAGAAGCAGCAGCAGCAGCAGCAGGGTACTGGTGACACATATGGCCAATTATAGGTGGAAGTGGAGAAGATGATGTGAGCTGAAAGCTTGTTCACACGTGGCGGGTGTCCAGACGGCCAGGGGCTGCATGGTGGAGGGCCGTGGGAGAGGAAAAGCTCATCAATAGCTGAGCTGAGGTGAGCCGAGCTCCTCTCTCCTCTCCTCTCCTCTCCATTCATCCGCAGGTCTGTGGCAAATCAAACAGCACTTTTTAGCCAATCAATACTGCCCCTTAACTTCCCGTTATTACTCCGCAGCCAGAATAAGGGTGAGCGAGGGAGATTCAATATTTAGTTCATAAATCATGCAGTAAAAAATGTCAAGGGGGTAATTGTGGTTTTCTAACACCCTTTAAAGGAAGGCAGATTTTATTAGCGGGTTAACATAGCCGGGCGACCCTCATTCCTTCTCATTATGGGCCCGCGGAGGCATCATCAAACCTTAAATGTTACAACGCTTCACAGCGGACCTTGGCCTCATTTCTCAAATACACACCTCTGCTGAACATGCACACGCACAAACAAATTGAGTGGCAAGGAACATGATGTAGTCTTATATGAAAGCCTTGTTCATTTGTAATAAATGACGAGATTGTTTTGGTCAAACTCATTGTGCGGGCTTCAATCATTTCTTTTGTATGTTACTTCCTTCACTGTTTACCAAGCAAATAAAAAGCCTCCTTCCTACACACAAATAACAGGGGGAAAAAAGTGGAATGATCGCATCATTACGTTGTTACAGACTACTGGTTTCCATAAGTCTCACTCCCCTCTCTCTCTCTCTCTTTCTGTGTGTCCCCCCCCCCAATGAATTTCAATTGGCCAATAATTTCCCACCATATCCCCAAGTTACAGCGTTTTCTTTTTTTTTTTGTCACATCTTTTAGTGATTAAATGGATCGATTTCTGCTCTCTGTGGGTGATTAATCCCACAGGGTTAGTGAGATTACAGAGACGGAGCCAAAGAGAAGCCTCCTTAATGGATTCACACAGAGAGCCTTCCATTCATAGGGCTAATGAGATTGGATTACAGGACCAGCGGCTTCAGAGAGGAGAGGGAGAACTCACAAGAGGAGAATCACGTCCAATGGGATGAAAGAAAAACGCAATGAATGACGTCATGTGCTCTGCTGGTCGTCTGACCTTTCATTCTGTTCCCTGACTGAAAACTCAACCTCAACACCTGCTTGGCCGATGGGGGTTCGTACCTTGGTTTTTATCTCGTGTGGTATTCTCGAAGGGAGGCCTCACGTATGATTGATCGTGGTCATTACTAGTCAGGGGGACGGGTGAGCAGCGGGAGTGTGAACCACTGCAGCCACTACAGTCATTCAGGTGCAGCACGTAGCCCAGCTGTTTTAGTCTGGAGGGAGCTGCAGGTGCTGTGGCGGTGTTTGGATGTAGGCGACAGCAGGCTCTATATCTCTCCTGCACAGCTGGACATTCAACCAAGAGAGGAAGCTGTGACTCTCTGCATTCGGGGTGGGGGGGGACTGGGAGTCTCGCTCAGTGTGGTGGTCTATGTCGTGCCCCCATGGTTTTATATCTCCACTAAATCTTTTGTCAGATCCCAGCAGGAAACAGTGTAGTCGAGAAAGCGTGTAGTGGAGTTTTAAAACACATGTATGACCCACGGGGGGGATCAGAGGCCCCAATCACAGCTGGAGGTCATCTGTGTTACTTGGAGGAAATAAGAACCAGAGCTGGTGGAAGCCGGTTACTCCAGGTCACTGCACAAACGATTGCCCCATCTCATCGGGTGCGTATAGACTAAATGCCCATAGTGTGCAGCTGCATACAGAGTGGAGGGCACCCTGTTTAATCTTCCCCTGTTCTCTGAATGGATCTCTGGGTCTGGCATGTCTGGTGGTGGATCTGGTATTTGCTATTTGCTTTTGACCACATTATGTTTCAGCTAGAAAGATATCTCTCCACGCTGACTATTAAATCTAAAGAAGCTGTTCAACGCTTAGAAATGCAAAGCTAATTTTGTTAGCAATACGCCATAAATAAATCAAATCCTCAAGTTTGTATTCGTTTAATTTTTAATGCTGTTGGAAGAGTGAAAGAAATAAACAACACACACACACACACACACACACACACACACACACACACACACACACACACACACACACACACACACACACACAGTATTTCCACAAGGCAAGACTGTTTTTTCTTTGTACTGTTTGTGTAAATGAAATATTATCACAGATCATATGACAAATGTTTTTAGCCACACTGAGCATGTGTCCTATCAGTCATATCTCTGTGCACTCAAATGAGTAGTGACAGTTCATGAGGGGGCGCGAAGGAGCAAAGAGGCGCCCTGAGGTGCTGCGTCCCCCATCATCACTGAGGGACAGCTCTGCCTCCACACACACATTCAATAGTCTTCAGTGTCTGCTCTGAAAATCACTCTTATGTGCTAAAGTTTGTATGTTTGTTAGTAGTGATTGGCCTGGCTATGTTAATGGGATTGGGTATTGATGTTGGAAGAGTCTTGTACTTGAAGGAGAACTCAAACACATCAAAGTCTGTTTACAGGCTTTGAGCACTAATATAATATATACATATAAACTAGTGTTTTGGCTCTATATCAGTTTTAATGCCTGTCATGTGACCACTCACAAAGTCTGGGCATGCGTGTGCTGGTGTATAAAGAAAGTATGCGCATTCACACAGGAGCAGTTGTACCACTGAAAAATGCAGAGTTCAATTGCACAACAGCTGTAAGCAAGGACAACGGGGGTCAGCAACGTTTGCAATTGATTATCCATGTCGCTGTCTACAGTGTTAGTCGAGATTAACGCTGGTTGTTTTCTTGAGATAGGAGCCTGACGAATCAGGGAAGGCTACGTCCTAAGCGTAGAGACCCAATCAGAGAGCAGTTGGGAGTCCCAGTTTCTGCCTGTCCAGACAAAAACACAGCCCCAGAGTGTTGAATCTAAAAATGAGCGAGGAGCGTTTCCAAAATTCTCCATTTCAGCGCTCTTCTGCAGTACAGTTGATACATTTCCAAATGAAGACGTAGTAGTATGGATGTAGACTAAGATGCATTATTGTTGTAAAATCATTGATGCTAAACATAACTTATGTATACTGAAACGGAAAGTGCTCTCTTCATGAGTTTTTTTAATTTTTTTAAAGCTTACGGATACAGAAGAAACTGAATAAATGAAGTAGTGCCACAAGAAATTATGGGGGGCAGTTTAGCCAAGATTACAAGACAACAATGGCAGAACGTTTTAAGATGACTGGTGAGAAACTAGCATCTATACGATGTTACTACGCCTGGTCAAAGGGACCAACAGTCTCTTTCCTCTTTCTTACGTTATCACAACTTCCACTGTTGCCATTTTTGTTGACGCCAGAAACTCTTGACTTTGCACTGCCCTCTAGTGGATGTATTGTTTAACAACCATGCCAATATAAATGATGCATTGACCTATGTGGGCAGTGACAGTTACATCGTTACATATCTTTTTTTGTACAGAAATCACTGTCCCTCATTGTTCCTGAGTTACAGCATTGAATAATGGACAATATGTTGCAGTAAGACTGACCTTTGACCTTCTGAATATAAAATGCTTCCTACCACCTCTTTATCATATTAGAAATGTGTGTTAAATTGTGTTATAATTGGTGGAGGGATTCATCACCCATGGAAGAAAATGTGTTTCATGAGGTGTCGGTGACCTTTGACCTCTGACCTCTGACCACCGCATTCTAATCAGTTCACCTTTGAGGCCAAGTGCACGTGTGTACCAGATGCAATGAAATTCCCTCCAGGCTGAGATATTGTGAGGTCACAGTGACCTTGACCCTTGACCCTCGAACTGGCAGCTGCGGTCTGGTAAAATCTGATGAATTACCTCAAGGGATGTCACTCAAACATCTTTCTGGCTTTCATTTCCCCCACTCTGATATTTTAGTTCTGGAAAAAAAATTAATAAAAAACTTGGATATTATTTATTTAGAATGTAACATAACAAAGAGAATAGAACTCTGTTTTGTCAGTGCTGTGTTTTGAAAAGTACAGAGACAAGTTTCTCACAGCAAAATTATTTTTTGCAAAAATATTTGTAGTCTCTTCTGCATATACACCCTAAAGATGAATATTGTCTTCATACTGTTGTTTATAGTTTGTTTACCACACCTTCAACAGAATGATACATGATGGAAGTAAATGAGGGAAAAGTGAGACATTAAATGCTAAATTATGTTTTCTCCACTTAAATCCAATCCAATCCATGAAATTTTGAAAGCTGTTGCCATTCTTAGTTTCCTTACAATTTTTCTGTCATTGACAAAAAATACCAGTTGAGTAAAACTGCAGAAACACACACACAAAGGAAATATATGCTTTGAACTCATCAAATTCTAACTTTGCAAAGTCCCTGAGGTACTACCACTTAGAGTATAGGAAAACAAATTCACAGAAGCTCTAATGACTCACATGACTCACAAGTCTGGGTGAGCAGTGCAACTGTGCTAACCCCGGGTGAGTTTTTTGGGAATCCAGTCCAAGGTTAGTTTCGTGTCACACACTTCCTACGCCAGACATTGCAGTTATGGGGGCTAATTATGGATCAACACAGGGGGATTTCTGCCTCCTGTGAAAGCTGCTCACGTGGAGGGGTTAGTCGAGCTGCTGACTCTTTAGTAGAGCTGCTCCCTCACTGAAGCACAACGGAATTATATATATATATATATATATATATATATATATATATATATATATATATATGCACTCGCACATAGACACCAGGGCTCTTAAACCAAGTGTAGCTGTTATTTTTTACAGTGTATAATGTCTCGAGGTAGAGAGGCGAGAGTTTTCCCTGAGTGCAGAAGCCATTAGTCAGAATGGAGGTGATTTATGGGTTGTCTCCTTGCAGAATTTAAATTAACTGCCATGCTGTATGGAGAGAGGAGGGAGGGAACCACTGCTTTTTGGGTTGCTGCCCTTTGCACTCCCTCTCCCTCTATAACACTCTCTCTCCTTTTCTCCCCCTCTGCCTTCCTTTCACTCCGCCTCGCTCAATCTCACGGGAGAAATTTGGAACGATTTTCGGATCCAGGTGTGTTGTCAGGTGGTCAGCACACTCATGGATTTCAGCAGGTTTCACTGGAAAGTATGCTCAGCCAAATGAAAACACATTTTTTCCTTAGTAGAGAAAACCTGAATCATTAAAAGACACATGCAAGGTCAAGATCAGCAGTTCCTGTGCAGAAGGTGCAGTGTCTTATGGACAAGTATACAGTAAATACTTCACAGTATCGTCCAGAGGCTGCAGCAAAAGTTTCAAAAAATACAGCACAATGATTCACACACTTATTTTTTAATGATTAATAATAAATATGTATCCAAATGTGGAGATACAGCATAAGTAATCATGGGTTTCTCATTATTTCAGGATGTACTCTCCCTGCTCCCAGATCCATATTAATGATTTTTATATTAATGATGTTTTGTACTGTAGTCTCCCCTCCCTGATGGCTTTATGATCTACAGTATAACTAAGCTGGGGGACAGGCCTGCAGTGTGACACGGGAGCTTAAGGGACAGGAGCTTCATCAGAGTTCAGCAGAAATTCCCTCCTCTTTGCAAATGATTCATCGGGGTTGACTTTATATACATAAATACATATTGCATAATACTTAATGCTGTGTGAACGGGTCTTGCAGTGAGACGGAAGAATGGTGGGGCTGTGTAGCTGGCTGGGGTGAGAGGTTGGAAGTCAGGGGCCCATGGGTGAGGGGAGAGGGTGAACGGTCAGGGAGGAGGTTGGGGGGTGAGGATGACTCCATAGGACATTGTACAGTAAAGCCAATGAAGTGTTACATGACATGTATGCAGGGTCATATTTTTAGATAGATAGAAATGTGCTTTTTTCTGCATTAGTTCTTAATTGCTTTTCTAGAAGATTTATTACTTTTGCTCCCTTAACACACATATCCTACACACCCACAAATTTTCATCCTGCAGGTTCAATGAACTCACAGATAAAATGTTCATTATGCATTGGTTTCCTGTACAGAGCCTTGACCTTTTGTGTACTTGCGGAATTATTGACTTCTAACTCAATTATTTCATTATTAATGAGGCAACACAATCAACATTAAACATAATTTACAATAATTCTGGGTTCACTGTGCTATTTAAGGGCAGGGGCCACACGAAAACAAAAACAAGGGAGAACATGGAATGGTAGTTAATTGGTTCTTTCATCTGTGAATGTTCAACAACCTTAACCATATGAAACCTCTTAATAAAGACCTTTTTTTGACCCAATCCACAATCTTTTCCAAAATTCAACCTAATCGTATCCAATCCACACCACTGACCACGTGTTCATTGTTGTTACAGCAACACCAAAGTGTCTTTTGCTTTTTGCACAGATTAAACAAATAACATGTCAGAATGACTGTGCTTTAAAGGAGCTGGTAGCCAGATCTTGTTTCTTTTGTTGCCTGGGGAACACAGAAAGAATTCCTGCAAATGTTCCTACTTCATGGTGAAAGTCATGCAGTGGAAATGTGACTATAAATGCAGCAAAATGTCAAATTATTTTTTTAAGTCGGAGAAATACATATTATTGAGATCAAATTTTCAAGCACGGCAGCTGGTGCACTTCATTGAAAAAGCTGAGGGCATCTCAAGCATCTTTTATCACTTTTGCTTTCCCTGCAACCAGCTTTTTAAACATGAAACGATGAGCAGGTTTTTATGTGATAAATGCATTGATCAAAGCGGATTAAATATTACTCTTAACACTCTTCATCTCCTCCCTTTGTCTCACCTCTGGGGAAGTTGTCAGTCCTACAGAAGCTCGATTCTCTTCCCCTGGGGACAGAATATTCCTCTGTGGGTTCTCTGCTGCAGTCCTGCCATGTTGAGGGCAAAACCAGGCCACAGAGAGCCTGCGCTGGACTCCAGCTGAGGTTTTGACAGGTTCTTGTCTTCGATGCCTGGATGAAGGAAACCACCCTGGGACTTCCCCTGGGTCAGAAAAGAAGAAGGAGAACAAAGACAGGAAGAAAGAAAATCTTAAGTTATTGACACACAAAAGTTCTACAATAGTCGGTTTGTTCAGTTATTTTAACTAGTTGTTTATTCACAGCTCATTAAAGGCTTAATAAACAGTTGCATTCTCAGGCTTAAATTTGGATTTAATTTATATCAAAGCAGGTGTAACACTTGGCAGGTTTTTGGCCAATGTGACTCAACAAAGTCAAATGTATAAACTTTGAATTTCATTCTCTTGTAACGATAGCAATAGGAATAATGAGAGGTCAAAATTAATTGATAATGTTTTCCTTCTTATTTAAGGTTAATGACACAGATGTTTAACAAGAAACAAAAGGAGGAAAAAAGAGATGTCTTTATGTCATTTCCTTGACAGAAAACATTTATTATTTTTACACCTTATAGTTGCCTTAATTCGTTCAGTCAAAAGATAAATAGAATTCTTAAAAATGACTTGTTTCATATTCGGCATATTAGGCATTTCAAGACTTGTAGGCAGACAGTAAGAGTTGCAAATGAAATGTATCCCTGGAATTTAGAATTCTGACCTTTCTTCTGAGGCAGGATTCAAATCAGATGCAAGTGGAGGAGGGGAGGTGGAGAGGAGAGCACTGTGAAGTGTTTAGCAAGGAGATGAGTTCTCACTTCACGCTGTGAGTGACGCTACAGTCCTGGCCGAGGTGGAAAGGTCATCCCATCATTTGGGAGCCTGGGGGGAGAGAAGGCAAGAGCGAGTGGAGCCACGACGAGCTCGCTGCAGGCAAGGCAGAGGGAGCATGAATCTCACACACACACATACACGTACGTCATCACATTCATTATGATACCTGGATATATTAGCCGACCCTGCAGCATGTCAGCCAAAGAGCAACTCCGCAATTTCTCACTTCTCTTCACCCTGCGGATGGAGGACAAAGAGTTAAACAACTGTTTCCCCGGAGCTCTGCTGCTTAGTCAAGAAAAAGAAGACAATGTGTAAACAAGGACTAAAGATCAAGCCAAGTAACTTTCCTAAACATCTTCACCCGATTGTCTGTACAGTAACCATACTCTTGGCTGACAGCTGTATGTGTGTAATCAGCTGGTAAATTATCCATAATCTTGTCTACAGAGCATTCGACCGTACTCACCTCATTGCAAAAAACTGATTTGACTGCATGTGACACAACATGCAAAGTGCTTGCGACATGTCATAATCACTTTGGCGTGAGGTACCACTGTGCTAACATGAGCCCCCCCCCCCCCCCCCAAACACAAAGGAACACCAGACTAACTCTGCTTTTGAGTGGACAAGCTGCAATTTGCAAAGTCAGTTATTATGTCTCGTAAAAATGCAACGCTGTCACATGCTGTAGTGGACTGGGCAGACGTCAGGCTTGATAGAACCGTGGCTCCTGCAGTGAGGAAGAACACACGGCCTGAGGGGATTCTCTGCAGGGTTTGTGTGTTTCTGTGTGTGTTGCTCTTTTCCTCCAGTCATGTCCTTCACCGCTTCTGCATTCACCTGGATATCCTGTGCATTATTGTGCACGTCAGCAAGAAATTCACTGAGGCAGAGAAGGCTTAAAGCAAATACATATTAATTTTCCCAGCACATACTGTATATGAAACAGCTTTTCCCCAGACTCAAAAACAAATGCCCTCTTTCTCCCTTCTCTGGAGCAAAAACACACTTATTCCACAAACAATTCCCCTTTCGAACTCAGCCTTTTTCCTTTTCCAATTTTCCTTTAAATGCACAAATGCGCCATCTCCCCTTCAGTTACTCACGTCAATTTTGACTTCCTCTGCCTCGCCGTCTTTGTTTTGAAGCCCCCCCGCCCCACGGCAACTCCAAACCACCTCAGTGGGTGCCAGGCAGTGACAGCAGTGGCTTGATCCTGGCACTTATGAAAGGAGCTCTTTGATAAGCCTTGGCCAGGAGCAACACAAGGGAAGCAATCAGAGACACAAACTCAACCAGAGATGAGGCTTCTAGTGTGTTTGCTGGTATGTTTGTGATGTTGTTTTGTTTCTTTGACCTGTTTAAACTTTCCTCATGGAAAAAAAAAAAWWAAAMMRRTYTTTWTTTTTTTTTTTTTTTACTCCTCTATGTTATATGGCTTTCCCTTGTGTACTTCTGAAACTCTTGGAAACATTTGCTCTGACTCCCCATCTCTTTGTAACCAGTGAGAACAAAGTGATTAAAAGCTTTTGAGGTTTGTTTGGATGTGGCTGATGCCTGGACACTGAGCTACTGCAGGTTAGTGTTTCCAGCTCTATTCTTGTCCTCACATCTGTTTCACAAGCTTTCGCCCTCGTTATAGTCTGTGCCTAAAATAATTGATTGTTTGGACATTTGTCTTATTTTTGTAATTGTGAATCTACATGTGTACCTTGTATTTAACTGTACTGCTAGTGTATTCAAATACATTGCACTCAATTGTATTTCTGTATTGCCTATGTATCTATCCATTTGTGTTTTTAATTTCAAAAGTTCAAATTTTTGTGTGCATTGGTTAATTTCAATTTCAATTGATTACCTGAGGATGGATGGATAGATAGATCGACAGATCGCTAGATCGATACACAGATAATTTATTGATCCCAAGGGAAATTTAGGCAAAATCTTAAATTTTAAATCCCACACAAATCCCAGTTTCTAGGGTTTTTACAATTTAACAATAAATTATTGTAAATAATGGTATTCTCTAAGTCCCACTCTGCCTAAAACTCTTATTTGTTCCATAAAACTACATACTCAAAAGGTTTGCCATGAAACATGTGATTTCACACCTGAATTCCTCATTTCATGACTGGGATGAATGAATATGCTTATATGAGCCCACCCTATCTCGTCTCCCTACCCTTACAGCTCACAGCTAAGGAGCCTTTTCCAGCGACTAAGCCCCACCCACAAGGATTCGTTTATCAGATCTGTGACATCACAAATGCTGAATCCATTTTTTTCAGACTGGCATTTGTTGTTAAAAGGAAAATCCTCCTGGTGTTGACTGCCTACTTAATTCAAAATATATATTTTACCATATAAAAGGTGGACATATTTTAAAACTTTTCCACAGAGGGGGACTTTAAAAAATGAAATCAGTTTTTTCTATCATATTGCACTGAAGTTCACAGGATGACATTGTATGACATTAGGTTTACATCAAGACTAACTCTTTGTTCTTGGACAGGAATGTTGTGCTTCCCAAAACTGATATTTGTAAGGCATCACAAAAAAAGCATTTCTGATCCTGAAGATCTGCGTCTGCCTCATGCAGTTATTTAGCTTTCAAAACATGCTATCACTTCCATTAAAATCTGTTTCACAGAGACTGTCATTGGCACTCCTGGATTCTCTCCGTATGCTCCGACAAATCAAGCAAAACAAACCAGCTTCACTGATATAAAGCTCAGCTGTCACAGCAGTTAACTCCCTCTCCATGTTGTACCTTGCTCCCCTTCTGCCTCTCTGATGCTCGTCTCCCCATCTTTCTCATCTTTCTTTCATTGCTATCACTCTCTGTTTGTCCTCTCCGGTGTGCATTGATCTCAGTGGTTCAGAGATTTAGAGATTTGGGGCAAACTGATCTGACTGGCAGTTCCAGTTGGCAGGTGAGGAGAACAAACAATGCCCCCCCTACTCCCACCTAAACAAACCCCAAAACCAATTTATGCCTTGTGTGCTTCTTCATATAGGCAAACTCCATGTCTGTAACCAGGGATAAAAACAAAAAACAGGCAAATATGCATTGCGGGAACACCTGGTGTGCCTGTTATTTGGGTATGTCTTACAGACTCAGTGATAAATCAGACATCCAACTGGTGAGGCAATGAGTTTGCAACTTAAACTTAATGATGACGAAGATACAGAAAACTGGTGACATGTCAAGAGCAGCGGTAACAAATATTGAGGCCTCCTGCTCACTGATCCATCTCAATCCGTCACAAGAGCTTGGACCAGCTCCAGCACAAAGCAGTCCCGTCTACGCCAGAAACAGGCAATCATGAGATGTGGAAAGAGCCAACAGCTTGCATAAGTTTAAACTGAGGCATGGAATTTATCAGCAACAATGCCTGGTGGACCAAATACCTGTCGACGTATCCAAAAGAAAAGCTAAAGAAAATGGTGTCAGTATTTCTACATTGAAACAGCCATTCCTGATATTTATATATATATTTTTACAAATGTATTTTTTGGGCAATCCAGCCTGCTGGCAGTCAAACCACACTCTTGCTGCTCATGTGATATATACCCATGATGTCTGTATAAAATAGGAAATAATTCATGGATCTTGATTAAATAAATCAGGCACATTTTAGGGATTAATATGTATACGTGTGTGCAGTTTTGTGCAGCTTGATTGAATCCAAGGGAACTGTTGGGCCTTGTCTGAGGTGTATGCTCTACTGACTGACATTCAAGTTGATAATTCATTTACCAATATGCTACTAAATACAACCCTGCACACTATTTGGTTGTTTGTGGTGTTGAGCTACCTGCTGTATTATATAAATAAAATAAAAAAGCCTGAAAACTCCTGCTGTTTTCATCATTACCTCTCGTGAACCTGTCATGAACACCCCTGTCCAAACTGGCAGTTCATATTGACATGAAGGTGCCATATTCTCCCACCTGTCTTGATCGTGTTTGTCTATTTTCAGTCTTTGTAAACATACCACAGATTTCAATTGATGACATATGTTTGTTTGCCATCTACAGACTTTATTATTTGCTTTCTTACTTCATCATTAATCACTCTAAGGGATGAAAATGTCAAACAAATGACATCATTGCTGCATATGGATTTTTTCTCTCCCAACCAGGACCCTTAATTTGATAAAAACCATGAAATCGATACCTAAAAAAAGACACCAATAAGAAATGGTGTCAGCGCATTCAGGTGGAGAAACACAGTTATTGACATAGGGGAAAGGCAAAGAGGGGGAATAAAATAACAGCAGATGTCAGTGGCCCCTACCGGAAGAAAAGAATTGTAGCCTTTGCCCTTAAAAAGTGGCCCCATGTGAGGTGCCACAAATATCATTTTAAAAAGTTTTAATACATCCTCTATTAAAACAACCCATAGTTGCTGGCTCGTGAGTTTGTTCCTGGCATTAACTTCTGCAATTAGCACCTTTTTTTATTGGAGAAGCTTGTATAGCAGATTTAAGTGTGTCTGTGCACATGTATGCATCAATCTTTAGAATGCACCTCCAGGAAAAGAAAAAAAAAGACTGTCTTTCCACATCTCCCTCTTTATTTTTAGAGGCTGGATGCTGATGAGAGAGAGGAGAAAGCAAGGGAGTGAGAAACGACATCAAAGGTGGGGAAAAGGAGGGAGAGCAAGGAGAGAAAAAAGAGAGAGGGATGAAAGAAGAGGAGCAAGATGGTCAAGGGGGGGCTGTGTTGGTTCCTCTGTGGTTCAGGAGAGTGGTAGAATGAAATGCAACGGGATGAGAGTCCTTCCTCTTACTGAGCTGGAGAGGGAGAGAGAGAGAGAGTGAGAGAGAGAGAGAGAGAGAGAGAGAGAGAGAGAGAGAGAGAGAGAGAGAGAGAGAGAGAGAGAGAGAGAGAGAGNGAGAGAGAGAGAGAGAGAGAGAGAGAGAGAGAGAGAGAGAGAGAGAAGAGGACGTAACCACACCAACCTCTCACTCGATAGGGGAGCAGAGGGGAGGAGGGGGCTCCGCTGCTATTGCCGTATAAAAAGCCAAGCCTGAGAATCCGGCACCACAAACTCACCACACACACACACACACATACACACACACACACACATGCACACACACAGATCCAGTGACTGCTCTGTATCCCTCACACTCTCATCTCTCTCTCTCTCTATCTCTCTCCCTCTCCCTCCCTCTCTCTCTCTCTCCCTCTCCCTCCCTCTCTCTCTCTCTCCCTCTCCCTCCCTCTGTCTCTCACTCCATTCCTCTGGGCTCTGCATCCTTCTTGCTTCTTCTTCTCACAAGTCAGATTGTGTTTGTAAGTACACGCTGAATGTCTCTCTCTGTATGCTTGGGCTTTCTTAAGTCTTTTTGTATGTGTGAGTGACTGGTTGCTTAGTTAAGTGTGACTGAGCAGAGCAGTGAGGTGTATCAAGTGTATGTGGGTCTCTGTCTCACCCTCACACACTCGCCGCTCCTCCTGCAACTCTTCTCGGGATCTCTGGGTCCCTCTCCTCGGTGACAGGCTCCTCACACTAAGCAGTCACCATTTCAGCTCCCGGGAGACCCACGCTGGCAGCGCAGCCCCTTCCCCGACTCAGCATCGGGAGGAAGACCCTGGTGGCGGCTGCCGTAGGGGTTATGCTGGTCCTGGTGCTGGTGGTCCTCATCCCTGTGCTCGTTAGCTCAGTGGGTACAGATGCCAGCCACTATGAGATGCTGGGCACCTGTCGCATGGTGTGCGACCCCTACCTCAACAAGGGCACTCCGGCCAGCAGCACCAGTTCCACCAGTCTCCAGGCTGAGGCTGAGGCGTTGAGCGACCACAGCAACGTGCTCCCACCCTCCACCTTACTGCAGGGCCCACAGGGGAAGCCTGGTAGGCCAGGCAAGCCCGGACCACCTGGACCGCCGGGGGAACCAGGCCCACCAGGACCAGCTGGGCCTCCTGGTGACAGAGGGGATCAGGGAAGGACTGGGATTTTGGGTCTGGGGGGAAATGGAGCTATCAGCACAGCCACCTACAGCACAGTGCCTCGGGTGGCCTTCTACGCAGGGCTTAAGAACCCCCATGAAGGCTATGAGATCCTCAAGTTTGACGACGTGGTCACCAACCTCGGCAACAATTTTGATGGCATTTCGGGCAAGTTCATCTGCAGCATACCGGGCACTTACTTCTTCATCTACCATGTGCTGATGAGAGGAGGGGATGGCACCAGCATGTGGGCAGACCTCTGCAAGAATGGCCAGGTTAGTGCTTTCAAAGTTTTTCTGAGTTTCCTCCACCCAGTGTAAACAGTGTCACACTCTTGTCACACTCCTCGGATGCTCACTCTCCTCCGTCCTCTGTCTCTCTCCTAAACATCCATACATTACAGGCTGTTTTTTTTTCTTCATAAAGCCAGTGCATAAAAAGTGACTTTGCGAGTCAAGCGTGCGCATCTGCCGTGCGCCACCAAAGCCCAGAGCGCACAGCTGTGAAACCCAGCGCGCCCGGAGATAAAGATGTGTTGACTGGTTGCGACCCGCGTCCTCTCCTCGCATGATGCGTCCTGACATTGCCGCGTGCACAAATGTGATCCAGGGGACGGTCACAGTGTGGGTGTGAGCGCGCCGGTCTCTGCGCCTTCACGCCATCAAATTTGGAGACCGATCGCGCGTTCCGTGTTTTCTCTTTTTCCTCAGCTCTGAGCAGATTTTCTTGAATTTAATCCCACTTGGTGTCGGAGTGCTGGACTTGAAAGTGATGATGAGAAGTTGCAGTTTTTTTTAAATGTAGGGGAGTGGAGATGCGGTGACATTTACTTTTGTTTTGTGTGTTTATGTGCAGAGGGACTGTGCGCTATTGTATTTGGAGATTTGTCTTTTACATGATTGTCATTATTCATATTATTATTATAAAAATTATAAAATATTGCATGGACGAGGGCACACGTTTCTATAACAAAACACTCAACTTTTACACGCCGTCTGCTCGGTGCAGGTGTAAAGAGTCGAGGGGGGGGGGGGTAAATTGAAATTACACGGATAATATTTGGACAACGCTCCTCTGTGCAAACCCACTGCATAATGTGGCCGCTGCATCCATCGGTCTCTGCAGTCGTGATAAATGCATTAGGACGTCTATATGATCTATTCACGGCTTCTTTGATGCATCGTTTTAATGGGGCGCTAATTTTGTTTTGCGCCCCTCGGGGTCTTCTCAGGTTGGTAATGTGTGCCAGTGTAGTTTGCAGCTTTCCGATCAGCCCGTCAGATCGTTTCACTTCAAAGTGGCTTTGAAATAACGTTTTGCCGGTGGAAAAAAAAAAAAGAAGATGAAATTATTGCAGTCATTGTTTGGTTTGTGGCTGCAACTGTGTCTTTAACAGTTTGCTTAAAAAAATTCAATGCATCCATGTAAAATTTGAAAGGTAGCAGTCTGTCACACTTCATTCACCTTCACTGCTTTTAAAGACAATCCTGCAAAATTTCATTGACAATTATAACTTTCTAAAAAGCTACTAGAGTTTAATGGTTAAAAGGGGTCGGCTGAATTGCATTTCACACATTGTCATGCATCTCTATAATGTAAAAGCTCCACAAGCTCAGCTGCACTTTGTGTCTGGCAAGGGCATAGCTTTGGTTTTACCTTTCTTTCTTTTTTGTCAGATGGCCAAAATCATACTTGCAACTGTTTTCTGTCTTGAGTTCTCATTCACACACACACACACACACTCACATGAGCAGGTACAGAGGCTGAATCTGCAGAAAGTTGACTTGAACTGAGTGTGAATACATTGATTCATTAAGTATAAATTCAAACGCAATAGATTTTGAAGACGGTTAGAAAATAAGTGTATAAAAATATCTGCTGCGAGCCATTTTCAAGACTTATCTGACATCCTGTAGATCTGTACTTTTACTTTGAGGATTTGGGCAACACAAGAGTTTAATGACATGGGGCCACAGGGATGCTCAGTCACATCTTTAAATGATATTACCAAAATGTATTTCTATATTACTTTTCATCAGGTGTCATCAGAGCTCACCCGAGAACCTGCAGCTCATCTGCCAGTGAGTCTGTGTTCCTCTGGCTGCTGCTGACAGAACAAAACTATGCGTGACCTCAGCAAACAAATCAGCTCGACAAGCTGATTTGGTTTCTAACCTTCCTAATGTTCATGTCTTGATGACACATATGTAGGAGGGACTGTGCTCTGGAGAGGAGGGAGGCGTTAAATTATTTCTTCAAATCATTTCAAAGAAATGCATGTTTGGACAGATTACTAACCGCTCTTCTTACCTGAGCTCAGCTGTCCCTACACTTCAGCTCTTCTTTAAAAAAGGACCAGATGTCCTTTGGGAGACATTTTTTAGTGCACAAATTAGCTAAAAAATAAAAAAATTGATATTAACCTGTGTTAAGACATTTGAAACCTTTTAACTATAAATGTGAACCACTTCAGATTCCCCACCGTGGATCAACCAACTCCACCACTGCTGCTGCTGGACTGCAGCTGATCACAAATATATATCCTTAGTCCTTCACGCTTAATCGTGATAACCACCATTTTGAGGAAAACACAGAAATGTGGCCTCTCATAGTTGCAGCATAGATCCTATAGCTGTAGGGACATGTCTCTCTTGTTTTGAAAGCATCATCTTCATATTCAAAAGTTTATTGTGCACATGGATACACAGTACTGCCGCTGGTGACAGAGATTTCTTTTACTGTAGATGTTGAATGACATCACAGTTTCTGTATGTCACAGGACATGCTATTTATAGTCCATTTCATGAACATTTGGGATATCTGATTCACCATAATCAGAGAGATGAATTCTTGAAACAACACCTCTACCTCCTGAAATTTTCAAATTCACCAACTGCTGCTGCGACCTGCTTCAGATCTTTTTCATCTTCTTAAGTTTTTGCCAAGTGCAGAATTTAAAATAAACAGTTCAGCAGAAACTGTCCAGGGTCTTACATTACAAGTGCTGACACCATGATAACGTGGAGATAAAACAATTGGCTCCGTGGTGTGAATCTGTTCATCCTGCCAAAGCAGCTAGAGGTTAACTCCTCTGCCGAGTTCATAGCCAGCAAGAAAAAGAGTTACAGCGATCACCTTCTACATATAATGTCTCACTCAACAGGAATGTTTATGGGCAGGCGTAAAAGCATTGATATACAGTATAATAGGGGAAGAAGAACATATGTTCCAATAAAAGGCCTTCTGTTCCCGCTTCATTGTGCTCCCAAGAGGAGGGTGTGGAGGTACTTAAGTTAGACGCACACAGTGTGCATCCCCAGAGACCCGCGTAATGTTTATAAAGTGGTAACTGCTCCTCTGTCTCTGTCTTCCTCTGTCCTATGCATAAAGGCGCAGTGCACTTGCTGGGGTGTTTATTAGATCGTTGGCCGACGGAGAAGGCCCCAAAGCCTCTATCTGTGTAAATGATGGTGAATGGTTATAAATGTTGGGGGCAGCTTATGCTACATCATTGATGAAGTGCTGAAATCAAGCTGGAGCTCCTGCAGCCGCAGCTCATTAAGGCTGCAAAAAGCTACACTGTGAGGTGGAGCAGGGGAGGCCAGGGAATTGCAGACAATACCAGCATTTTATCATCTTTTGGCTTTAGTGATCGGCGGGTTTCCAGGCCCTGCAGTGCTGTTTCCATCCAGCATGTGCTCCTCCGACTCCAGGGGTCCTCACAACTCACAAGCTGTATTCAACATCAACATCCATAGGTTACTTTATTTCTTCTTCTCCTCTTTTTTTTCACTTGCCAGACTGCAACAGAAGAATCGTAGCATTGTCCCCAGGACTTTGACACTTTCCTAGCGAGACCAAAAAGTCAGCTTCCTGGTAAACAAACAAAATAAGGAATCTATTTTCAGCGCAGTACACTTTATCCCGTTTCCAAGTTCCTCTCCACAAACTCTATTGGCTTCTCCATCGCCTGCTCTTTTACTCGCTTGCCAAATATTCCACCAGCGCTAAACTCTCGCCATTAAAATCGGCGCTTCACTTTGACCTGCCTCGAACACCCTGACAGACGCGGCAGTGGCATGGAAAATGTATTTGTGGCAGTGGAAGATGGAGAGCGAAAAAGAGGAGAGAAAAGACATAGTTATTGTGCTATTGTGCTACCGAGTCTATTTAATTGTAATTAAAAAGCTTGAACCAGATCCAGGATGTGTTTGCGCTTCTCCTCTCCATTCCCTTCTTAATATTGTTATTAATCTGCAAAACCGTTTCAGAGTTAATTAAAAGCAATGACTTCAGCGTCAGTCTCTCAAGAGGACCATAGTGAATAATCACTCTGTCTCCTTCTTTAATAAGCTTCAACGTCCTTCGTGCACATGGCTCTTCCCTGGCAATTACCGCTGCAGTCTCACTACACACACATTCACACATACTCATACACACGCGTGCAGGCCTTGCCCCCCCCCTACCCCCTAGCCCCGAACCCTCTGCCTTACCCCAACTGTGCTCTGCCCTCCATCTCTCCTCTACGCCCGGTCTACAGGAGCTCACAGAAAAGTTTCATCTCAATAAAGAAAAGTTCTTTTTTTTTTAAAGGCCGCAACGGAGAATCTGGATTGTGGTATCACCCAATCGATTTACACACAACGCACAACGCCATCAATATTCTTCATTGCTCTCAAGTGATGCATTGCACTGTAACAGAATAGGTTACAGAGCGCCATCCTCTCAGATTTTTTGTTTTCGGGCTCACCTCGCTTCAGTGTCTCTTCAGCGGTTCTGTTTTAACCTTAAGTGTTGCTCAGCTCTGCTCAGTCACGTGTCATTTTCCTGTCAAAGCGTTCGGCTCAGTCCATCTCCGCTCGTGAAGGCACCCACAGGAGGGTTTTCAGCTCCGGTGCACATGACGGCCATTTATCCTGCTGTGTATCCAGGTGAAACCCACAAATTGTGTTTAACATGCGGTGTTGATCCAAACATTAAACATGGGAGATGAGCCATCTGGACGAGGGTCTGCTCTGTTTGATTCGATATTGACACACGTTCAAAAGAAATGTGTGAATAACAGAAATAGAAATCATTCAACAGATTATCACTCAAGGTGGGCTGTGGTCTTCACAGATTTTTATGATAAGAAAACAAATTGCGAGCACTGAACACATGAGTTATCTCCACTAAAACAGCAATACTTAAGATTGATTTTAACATTCTGGTAATGTTCAGTCCTGCTATTCGTCATCGTGGTGTGACTTCAGCACTGAGAGGCCTCTGTGTGTCT